CAGTTGCTGCTGCTGCTGCAGCAGCAGCAGCACAGCAGCAGCAACTGCTGCTGTTGCTGCTGCACTTGCTTGCTGCCACCTGCTACCCCTGCAGCTGCTGCTGCTGTGCTGCGCTGCTGCTGCTGCTGCAGTACTACCCGCAGTGCTGCTGCTGCTCGTGCTGCTGCTGCTGCTCGTGCTGCTGCTGCTGCTCTTGCTGCTGCTGCTGCTGCAGGACTACCCGCAGTGCTGCTGCTGCTGCTGCTCGTGCTGCTGCTGCTGCTCGTGCTGCTGCTGCTGCTGCTCGTGCTGCTGCTGCTGCTCGTGCTGCTGCTGCTGCTCTTGCTGCTGCTGCTGCTGCTCCTCGCCCGGCAGCTGCGCGTCGAGGACCTCCACAGAGACCTCGTAGCGGCGGGGGTTGCTGCTGTCTTGCTGCAGCAGCAACTCAACTGAAAGAGTGAGGCCTTCTGGGGCTTCCAGTGGCTGCTGCAGCAGCAGCAGCAGCTGCTGCCAGTGCGTGGGTGCAGCAAAGGGGCTGGTGTCTAGGGTGACTGCTTGTTTGCTGCCGGGCACTGCTGCTGCTGCTGCTGCTGCTGCTGCTGGGCAGTCGTCCTCTGCTGCTCCTGCTGCAATTGCTGCCAGCACTTCTTCTATGGACACGCCCCCGGCAGCAGGAGCAGCAGCAGCTTCTCCTGCTGCTTCTGCTGCTGCTACTGCAGCAGCAAACCTTGCTGCTGCAGCTGGAGTCGGCGGCGGGGGCGGCGGACCCCGAAACAGGGCTGCGTCTGCAGCAGCAGCATCTGCTGCAGCAGCAGCAGCAGCAGCACCGCCTGCAGCAGCAGCAGCACCGCCTGCAGCAGCAGCACCGCGTCCATTGGCAGCAGCAGCGGTGGCAGCCGCGTCATCGGCATCGTCTCTGCCCCCAGCAGCAGCAGCAGCAGCAGCAGCAGCAGCAGCAGCAGCAGCAGCAGCAGCAGGAGGAATCCCTGGAAAGGTGACATCAAACCAAAGGGCGAATCCGTAGACAGTGCTGCTGCGGTGTACGCGCAGCAGCAGCTGGCTGCGGATCTGCTGCAGCTGCTGCAGCGTGAGAGTGTAGAGGTCGAGTTCTGCTGCTGCAGCAGCAGGGCAGCAGCAGCAGCTGTCGGGGGGCAGCTGCAGCACGAGGGGCGTGGCTGCGTGCTGCTGCTGCAGCTGCTGCTGCAGCGGGCCGAAGGAGAAGCCGCAGTAGCTGCTGAGGAAGCCCTGCTGCTGCCGGTAAGTCTTGCTGCAGCAGCAAAGCGACAGCAGCAGCCGAGCAGCAGCAGGCAGCAGCAGCCCCGTGTCTTTCTTTAAAAACTTATCTCTTGCCAGCAGCAAAGACTGCAGCATGCCTTCGTGCAGCAAATAAAATCCCATGAATTCGGAAATGATCACATCTACGTTTTGCTGCAGCTGCTGCAGCAGCAGCAGCTGCTGCTGCTGCTGCTGCTGCTGCTGCTGCGGCTGCTGCTGCTGCTGCTGCTGCTGCTGCGGCGGGCAGCTGCACAGCTCCTCCACGCTGCAGCAGCAAACTTGAATCACCCCGCGGGGCACTTTGCCTTGCTGCTCGTTGTGCTGCACTTGCTGCTGCAGCAGCGCAGCAGCAGCAGGGCTGCCCTCCACTGCCACAACAGCAGCAGCACCAGCAGCAGCAGCAAACAGCGACAGCACCCCGCTGCCAGCCCCCAAGTCCATCACCACTTTGCCCCGCAGCAGCTGCTGCAGCGCAGCAGCAGCAGCAGCAAAGCTGCACACCCGCGGCCAGTCCCGCAGCATCAACGCGTGCACCCGCGGGTCCCCGTAGGCCTCAAAGTACGCGCTGCTGCTGCTGCTGCTGCTGCTGCTGCTGCTGCTGGGGGGAGGGGCGGGGGCGGCAGCAGCGGCTGCTGCTGCTGCTGCTGCTGCGGCGGCATCTGCTGAGGAGCGGGCGGGGGGCTCGTGGGGAACCACTCCGTTGCTGCTGCTGCTGCTGCTGCTGCTGCTGCTGCAGCTGTCGCTGCTGCTGCTGCCTGAAGCCATGGCGGGTTTTGAAGGACGGAACTAATTAGGGCTTATGGCTCAGGGTTTAGGGTTTAGGGTTTAGGGTTTAGGGTTTGGGGTTTAGGGTTTAGGGTTTGGGGTTTAGGGTTTGGCCGCCGACAGCATCGACACAGTCGCTCAAGGCGCAGCCTACACTTCAGGGTTTAGGGTTTGGCTGGAAACAACATCAGAAAAATGAAATTAAATTAAATTCAAATAAATAAATAAATAAATAAATAAATAAATAAATAATTAATTAATTAATTAAATAATTAATGAGGGTTTTTGCTGCCGTAAACCCCACAGACGGGGGCCCCTGCAGCCCACCAGTTTCCAGTTCAGCTTTTCAGGGCCCCAGGGGCCCCAAACCCTAAACCCTAAACCCTAAACCCTAATTCGGTGGATAAGGGTTTTCATTTGCGTTGTTTGCTCTTTACTTGTAGTTTATCCACCCAATAAGGTTTGTAAGTCCTAAACCCTCAACTAGGGTTTAAGGGTTTAGGTCTTAGTAACAGCCTGACAATAAACCCTAAACCCTCATTAGCACTTAGGGTTTACCCGCAGCAGCAAACCCTCACTAGGGTTTAGGGTTTAGCCACAGCCACACAGCCGCCAGCGGCTTAAAACCCCGAAGCCTAAACCCTAAACCCCAAACCATAAACCCTCACGAGGGTTTCGCGCCGTCTCTAAACCCTAAACCCTAAACCCTAACAAGGGTTTAGCGCTGTCTCTAAACCCCAAACCCTAGCTGCTGCTCATGCGCCGCTTCCATATCTTTCCTAAACCCTAAACCCTAAACCCTAAACCCTAAACCCTAAACCCTAAACCCTAAACCCTAAACCACATGTTTTCAAGTGCTGCGTCTCGCTCGAGACGCACAGTCAACGGGTACACCTGAGAAACCACGAGCTGCTGCTGCTGCTGCTGCTGCTGCTGCTGCTGCTAATGTTGCTCCTGTTGCTGTTGCAGCAACAGTGCCAGCTTCTGCTGCTGCTGCAGCGCCAACTGTAGCAGCGTCTGCTGCTGCTGCTGCGCCAGCTGCTGCTGCTGCGCTAGCTGCTGCTGCTGCAGTTCTTTGGGATTCAGCAGCAGCAGAAATGTACACTAATGTTTGCAGCAGAAGGTACTAGAAAAAGCCTGTTGCTGCTGCTACTGCGGCTGCTGCTGCTTCGACAGCTGCTGCAGCTGCTGCTGCTGCTGCTGCTGCTGCTGCTGCTGCTGGTCTACATCTCGCGCCTATGACAGCCCCTGGTGCTGTGGCTGTTGCAGTGTTGCAGCTGCTACTTCATTTGTTGCTGTTGTTTCTGCTGCTGCTGCTGCTGCTGCTGCTGCTGCTGTAGAACATCTGTGGCGCAGCAGCAACTGCGTCCCGTGCTGCTGCTGGTCAAGGAAAGGACGCTGATGCTGTTGTTGCTGCTGCCGTTGCAGCTGCTGCTGCCTGTAGCACTTTCAGCTGCTGCTGTTAGGATTGTTGCTGCTGCTGCTGCTGCAGTGTTTGTTGCTGCTGCAGCGTCTGCTGCTGTTGTAGCGCTTGCTGCTGCTGCAGCGTTTGTTCCCGCTGCAGCTGTCGCGGTCTCGTCTGTGTATGCATCTGTTGCTTCGCGTCTGCTGCTGCTGCTGCTGCTGCTGCTGCTGCTGCTGCTGCAGCAAGCAGCAAGGAGATGAATGCAGACAAATAAAGAAACCTAAAAATAAAAATCTATAAGTCGAATCTGCTTCCAGAAAAGTCCCATTCTTCGTCCGCCTGAAGCAGCAAGCAGCAGCAGCAGCAGCAGCAGAAGCAAGCGCACCACCAGCATCACCAGGAGCAGCAACCGGAGCAGCAGCAACACCAAGAGAAGCAAGTGCAGCAGCAGCAGCAGCAGCAGCAAGAGTGGGACCAAGAGCAGCAAAAGAAGCAAGAGCAGCAGCAGCAAATTGAACAGAAGGGGCAGCTGGAAAGGAAGCACAAAAGCAAAAGAGAAAAGTTGCTGCTGCAGCAGCAGGAAAAAAGGAGCAGCAGTTTGCTGCTGACAGACCCGCTTCTCTAGTGCCTCTCCTTCTTTGTCTGCTGCTGCTGCTGCTGCTGCGGGTGCTGCTGCTGCTGCTGCTGCTGCTGCTGCTGCAGGCGGCTCGCGCCTCTCTGCTGCAGCAGAAGTCTCGCGGAAACCCACTTCCCTTCTTTTTGCTGCTGCGCGCTTTTGCTGCAGCAGCACGGGCTTCAAGTTGCTGAGGGCCCCCCCCACAACAGCTTGCTGCTGCTCATAGTGCAGCAGCAGCAGCGGCCACACATCCACTTTTTCGAGGAACTCAGCAGCAGCAGCTTGCAGCAGCACGGAGCCTCCTGCTGCAGCAGCTGCTGCTTCCTCGGCGCCGGGGCTCTCGCTGCCGGCCCCGCCCCCTGCTGCTGCTGCTGCTCCCCCTGCTGCTGCTGCTGCTGCTGCTGCTGCTGCTGCTGCTGGCCGCCGCTTCAGCGACAGCAGCTCAGCATTGCCGCAAATAAATAAACAGTACCGGGCTCGAGTCAAGGCCACGTTCAGCCGCCGGGGATCCGAAAGAAACCCTATTGCTGCAGCAGCAGCAGCAGCAGCAGCAGCAGCAGCAGCAGGTGGCTGAACCTTCAGCGGCAGCAGCAGCGGAAACGGCAGCAGCAGCAGCGGCTAACCCGCGGAGACCCTCACACCCTACAGCAGCAGCAAAGTCTCAACTGATCACATCTAATACAAGCTGCAGCAGCAGCAGCAGCAGCAGCAGCAGCAGCGGGAGAAGAGTCCTCTGCTGCCGCCGCCACCGCTGCTGCTGCTGCTGCTGCTGCTGCTGCTGCTGCTGCTGCTGCTGCTGCTGCTGCTTACACTTTTGCGGGTTGCTGCGGACGCAGGAAAAGATAATAATGTCTTTTTCTCTTCCTTGAAAAGCATCAACAGAACTCAACTCCACTTCTGCTGCTGCTGGGCTCCGCAGCAGCAAAGTCCGCAGCATGTTGCGCTGCCCAATGTACGGGGTTATTACCCCAATCTGGTCGCACCTGCAGCAGCAGCAGCAGCAGCAGCAGCAGCAGCAGCAGCGGCAGCAGCAGCAGCGGCAGGGAGAGAAGGGTGAAGTGCCAGCAGCAGCAGGGGCAGCAGCTGCAGCAAACGAACCAGCGCACGCTGCAGCAAGGCCAGAGAGGCCTTGCTGCAAGCAGCAGCAACAGCAGCATCTGCTGCAGCAGCTGCAGCAACAGCAGGCGCAACTGCTGTAGCAGCAGCAGACCCAAATGCAGCACCAGCAACAGAACCAACTGCACCAGCAGCAGCAGCAGCAGCGGCGGTGGACCCAACTGCCGCAGCAGCAGCAGCAATACATCCAACTGCAGCAGCAGCAGCAGCAGTACATCCAACTGCAGCAGCAGCAGCAGCAGTACATCCAACTGCAGCAGCAGCAGCAGCAGCAGTACATCCAACTGCAGCAGCAGCAGTACATCCAACTGCAGCAGCAGCAGTACGTCCAACTGCAGCAGCAGCAGCAGCAGTACATCCAACTGCAGCAGCAGCAGTACGTCCAACTGCAGCAGCAGCAGTACATCCAACTGCAGCAGCAGCAGTACATCCAACTGCAGCAGCAGCAGTACATCCAACTGCAGCAGCAGCAGTACATCCAACTGCAGCAGCAGCAGCACGTCCAACTGCAGCAGCAGCAGCAGCAGCAGCAGCAGCAGCAGCATACGTTGCTCCTGCCCTGAGAAGAGCCACCACGAGCCGCTCCACAATTGCTGCTTCTCCTCTGTTCACATAAGAGGTCCCCGTCGAACTCAACTCTTCACGGCCTGCGCAAACCCTAAACCCTAAACCCTAAACCCTAAACCCTAAACCCTAAACCCTAAGCCCTAAACCCTAGACGCTAAACCCCAAATCCTAAACCCCACACCCTTAAACTCTAAATCTTAAACCCTAAACCCTAAGCCCTCAGCCCTAACAACTAAGCGCTGCTCTGAACCCTCACGACTAAACCCTAAACCCTAAACCCTAAACCCTAAACCCTAAACCCTAAACCCTAAACCCTAAACCCTCAGAAAGGAACGCCTTGCGATGAAAACAGCACTGAGCCTCGAGCCAACTGGATTGCATAATTTCTTTCAATTATTTATTTATTTATTTCCATTTATTATTTTCCATTAATTTTTATTTATTTATTATTATTTATTAGTTGTTATTTATTATTATTCAGAAAAGCAAAAAAAAGGAAGCAAATGGCAGCAGCAAATTGTCAGTAAGAGAGGAGCGACAAATTGAATAAAGATGCAGCAGCAGCAGCAGCAGCAGCAGCAGCAGCAGCAGTGAAAGCCAGAATGGACAAAACAGGAAGACAACTAAGCAGCAGCAACACTGGCACGCAGCCAAGCAGCAGCAGCAACAGCAGCAGCAACAGCAGCAGCAACAGCAGCAGCCAAGCGCAATTCCTCCGGGCACCCAGCAGCAGCAGCAGCAGCAGCAACAGCAGCAGCAGCAGCAGCAGCAGCAAAAGGGGGAGGCTCCCGAGCTCGTGAGCGACCGAAACAAGAAACAAACAAATGAGCAGAACAAAACAAATAAATAATTAAATAAATAATTTAATTAATTAATTTAATTAATCAATTAATTAATTTAATTAATTAATTAATTAATTAATTAAATCGGACTTGTGCAATTGTAGAAAAAAGAAGGCAGCTGCCCCCGCGGCCACTCGAAGGGCAGGCGGGCGGCGAGGCTGCTGCTGCTGCGCTCTGCTGCTGAAACTCCATTTTGAAGAGAACCATTATAGAAGCAAAGAGAAGGAAAGTGAGACAACGCCGGGTGCATTCTGCAGCAGCAGCAGCAGCAGCAGCAGCAGCAGCAGCAGGAGTCGCAGCGGTAGCAGTGGCAGCGCAGCAGCAGCAGCAGCAGCAGCAGCAGCAGCAGCAGCAGCAGCAGCAGCAGCAGCAGCAGCAGCAGCAGCAGCAGCAGCAGCA